GAGAAATAACAGAGTATTTGTCAGTAGACACAGTTATGAATACAGAACAGAGCACTTCATATCCCGTAGAGTTTTTAAATTCTCTAGATTTGTCAGGTGTTGTCACATAAGCTTCAATTAAAATTAGGCGTCCCAGTCATGCTAATGCGAAATGTAGATGCTCCTCGGTTATGTAACGAGACAAGGCTGCGTGTGACAGATCTTGGATGGAACATAATCGGTGCTACAAATTTGACAGGCGTAGGAAAAGGTGAAAATGTTATTATACCACGGATCCCTATAATTCCCACAGATCTTCCTTTTCAATTCAAAAGGTTGCAGTTCCCTATTAAGCTCAGTTTTGCAATGAAATTAATAAAGCACAAGGGCAAACGTTACAGGTAGCGGGTGTCAACTTAGAAAAACCGTGCTTCTGTCATGGTCAGCTGTATGTAGCATGTTCGCATGTGTCAAGTGCCCACAATTTCCACATTCTTTCCCCGAATGGAAAAACATATAACGTTGTGTACAGTAGCGTCTTAAAATAGGGTTCAGTTAGTTTTTTCCCAAAATTCCCACAATCAATTAATCAGAATTCCCACAGATCTTCCCTTTCAATTCAAAATTTCCTATTTAGCTCAGTTTCTTTTCAATTCCAAATGCTGCACCTCTGACGGACTATTAGTTTTCCTTTCAACTCAAAAGGCTGCATCTCTGACGGATCTTTTATTTGGCTCAGTTTCCTTTCAATTCGGAAAACTGCATCTCTGATGAATCAATTTAGCTCAGTTTCTTTTCAAAAGTCTGCATCCCTGACGGATTATTATGCTCAGTTTCCTTTAATTAAAAAATATCCCATTTCCATTTGGAATAAACAGGCTATTTTCATGCTTTCCTAGTATATAGGCTGCGTTTCAAAACATTTAAATAGGCTGACGAATCAATTTTGCACAGTTTCCTTTTAATGGCTGCATCTCTGACAAATCTATAAAACTCAGTTTTCTTTCAATTCAAAAAGCAATGGATAGTTCCATGCGGGCGAAGCCGCGGGTAACAGCTAGTAAAGAATATATCAAATACACTGCGCTTTCTAGCACTTCCAATGTTTTATATTACACTGTTGAATGACCTCATAAGTTGCCTGACTTATTTACGATCGGTCAGGTCATTTTTATAGAATAAGGGTGATAACTGATAACCGAGCACACAGTTCATCTGATGGTTAGTGGAAATTGTGGCCTATAGACATCTACGTCTATATTCGATAATTAATCGAAATGCAGGTGCGTTATCACCCCTGAGGATTTTTTTTTGACAGTTAGCACCAATACGAATAATTTAGCAGTGGTTCTCCCACTAGGTACGCAGACCTGTATCGTGAGAGCCAATATAAACATATTAAAAAAAAACAGAATAAGTGCACGGCTGACTTTACAAAGCTTTCCCTTTAAATGTCTACTTCATTTTATTTGTGGTCATCAACATAAACATATACTTAAACATGTATACACACACATATATATCACATATACATTTATACACAAACATACATACATATATCTTTATATTATATCATTTATTAATACTACAGTATTTTGAATTTGGATTTAGTACTACAATAACAATATTAATATAACAATACTAGCCCCAAGAAAGTTGCGTACATTCTTCACGTGTAGGGTACGGATAAGTACTTTTAGTGGGGCTTGAAAGCAAAAGGAGGGGACATTGAACACTGAATGTGAGACTGTAATGTATAAAGGTTTTAGCCGCTTGAGCACATTTATTGTGCATTATTGTATTACGTAGTTGCAAATTAGCATTTATAATATTTTGAAAAATATTATAAATGTTAATTTGCAACTACGTTATTCATTCAGCCTTTAAACTTTTTTCAATAATTCAGTTTTGTTTGGTTCGAGAACAATTATTTGGTTATTAAATCCTTATTAAAATCTCAATAAGAACAATATTATGCTAATTTTCTTTTTTGTATTTCTCCAAATATGTGTACCAGTAAAGTGGTACAGGAAACACTTAAAACTTTTTATATAATGTTTGTTGCTTTGATTCATAAATTCTACCGTAGAGTCTTAACTGTCATGAACGAAATTTTATCGGGTAATATATGGAATTCCCAACTCGATTAGTGCATCCTGGAAATATCTGTGACAGCTTAGAATAACAATAGGTTAGTAGATTCTTTTTTTATGATATTGAATAATATTTAGTAGATTCGTCTTCACTTCGTAAATGTAAAAACAGGGCGTGGCTGAAGGAAACAGAACGAGATGGAGTGTAATACGGTCAGCGAGTGAAGAGCCCAAACATGGACGTAGCGACCCACTGCGCGGCGGCGGACGTGTCCAGTTCCGTCTACGCACACTATTTACCTGTTTAGCCTTTACTGTGGAAAGTAAGAAGGCTACTGAACTCGTTCGGACTTCAGTGTAATTCAATGCATTATAAACAATCCAGTTTAAACCTCTTCTTTTATAAGGCTTGAAAGATAATACAAAAAGTATAGACCTAAAATTCTTGATAACACACACTAAAGCTCACAAAATAATAATAAACTAAAACATTGAAAGATAATTGTAATACTTTATATATATATATATATTTATATATATATATATATATATAGTAAAGGTTATATGAGAATGGGTCTTTCCGAGGCAGAAACATATCGATACCTGGGTAGGTCACAGAACATAGATATCGATGAGGTAGACATGAAACAGTCAGTTTACGATGTGTTTTATGCACGCTTGACAAAGTTCTTAACAGCCTTTTGTCGGGCGTTAATAAGACACACGCATATAACGGTTGGGTCACGCCTATTCTCTTGTATACCTTTGGCATACTCAGGTGGACTCAGACACAACTGAACGCTCTGGATAGAAAAGTCCGCACTGTTAGGACGCCCAACATAATGCATCACCCGAGATTGTCTGTAATGGGACTGTTCTTGTCGAGGAAACATGGTGGGCGTAGTTTTTTTAAGAGCTCTCACCATGCATAATCGCGAAATGTGCAGCCTCCGTAATTACTACGAGATCGGATGATCCGGTTCACAGGGACGTCATTTCGTATCATATAGCTCCTCTCTCCTTAACCAATGAGCAATGAACCAGCAGTACAGTGCATTTTAGGCTGGGAGGCCGTATGGAAAGAGAAGGAGCTCCACGGGAGGGTCTACAAAGCTCTTCATGAGCTTTTCGTAGATTCAGTTGCCTCTATCAACTGGATTGGCCTTGAGGACCTCTTCGGGGAAACCGAGGGTTTTGTCTGTGCATTATAGGATTAGGTTATTAAGACCAACAACCATCGAAGATACATCCTAAAGGATGGCACCGTCGACATATCCCGATGAGTCCCTTAGGCATGTTATCTCTGGTTGTTAGGCATTTTCTAACTCTGAATAAGTACACAGGCACAACCTAGTAGCCAGAATTCTACACCAGGAGCTCACTCTGAAATATGGTTTCATGGATCGTGGATGGCGCCTGGGACTCCGTGACAGACCGCTCCGGGCTCAAATGCAGAAGGCGGTGCTCCTCGATACCGCCCGCACTGTCCGCCGATTTCTTTCCCTTTCCTCTTAACGCTCAAACGTTTGGTCTCCCCTGCCGAGGGATTCCAAATGGTTGGGTTTTTATTTATTTTTGTATTTTTATTTATATATGTTAGTATATTTAATATATATTTATGTATATTCATCATTCCTTATATTTATTCAGCCAAACTAGATGACAATTGTTTGTAAATACCTCTTCAATAATAATAATAGTAATTTTATCCGGGCCGAATTTCGGTCACGGCAGCCAGCCTCAACGGAGATTATCCATCGCCGCAGTACAGGTTAAAATGTCGAAGTGTTATGCTCAAGCATATAAGTGTACCCGATGGGACGTAAACCGACACGACCGGAGAGAGATCAGGCGCAGGATCAACGGCTTTACGTGCTGTCCGAGGCACCGGGGTGAGTCACCGACAACTTCCTGACTTCGTGCAGCAACTGAGAGAATTTCTTGACACAAAAACTCAATAACTGATGTTTTTTGGGGTGACCCGAGATTCGTACCCGGGACCTCATGATCAACAGTTGCGTTTACAACCACTATATCTATGAGGCAGTTATATAAATAAATGGTTAACTAAATAGTATATATATATATATATATATATATATATATATATATATATATATATATTATTTTTTTCTTTATATATATATATATATATATATATATATATATATATATATATATGTGTGTGTGTGTGTGTGTGTAAATGAATTTCTGTCTTCTATGGTAATTTCATACAAGTAGTGAATAATGTAATTAAATAATAAAAAATTAAGCTTAATTACGAGACGTATTCATAGGTCGGTAGTAGAGTCCGGTAATGAATAAGTGGGCATAAATTTCTTCTGGTGATGCCGATTCATGACAATAGACGGGTGTCGGCGTAAAGAGTAAAAGCCCGCTTTCCCGCGCACCGGTGGCATCGCGACCTACAGCATCGACACACATCTAATTCGAAATCCTGCTTGTTTGTAACCACTACTACTAAATTAACCATTTACTACATACCGAGTGTATCCATGATATTTTATCTGTAAACATTAGCCAAAATTCTAAAAAAATTTTTGTTTGGTTCACATGTATATATTTCTTAAAATAACGTACGAAAATATACAATTATTTTATTACTAAATACAGATTTTATACACAGTTTTTAAAACCAAAAATTATTTATATTATCATCTTTATTATAAACATCATCACAAGTCCATTGCTTAAAATTGGTCTCTCGCAACCTACGAGTAATGCCACAAAACTCGATTCTGAGCCAACTCCATCCATCGATTTCCTGCATATCTTGCTAAGTCGTCATTCCATCTAGTGGAGGTCCGCCTTACACTTCGCTTACCGGTAAGAAAATAGTTAATACAGTACGGCAATAATACGGTACAGTGATATATAGATTACTAGGTATAGCAACAAGTCATTAACATGAAAAAGGTGCCACGTGACGTGGTAACAGCGATTACTAAGTATTACCACAGTTTAAAGACCTTACAGCTGGGAAACGAATGTACTTGTGCAGAGCAACGCAACGGTGGGGGTACTGCGGGGCAGGGCCCGAGCCGGTCTTGTGTTATCGCACTTCACAGAGTCTGATAGACAAACATGTGGATGGCGCGCGCGTGTTTTATAGTACTTATTTAATTAGTTTTAAGGCCCCAATCTTTTAAAAATTAGTGTTCTCGCAAAATTTACAGCAAAACAAATATTTTTTATAGTATTTAAAAAAGAAAAAGTGAAACATAGGTATTTTAGATTTATTTAAAGTGTAGGATTTGATATTTTCGAAACTGTTTTTTAATTTTATTTTGGTATTTAAATTAATAGCTCTATTAGGTGTTAAACATGACTATGTTCATGTTACGTGCGTAAAAGGTCTTATTAATGCCTCTGCTATGTACAAACTATAACAATATCAAGAAAAGTATTTAGATCACATTTATTAACATATTGTCTACAATAACCACCAGATCTGGTCACTTTTTTTTATAAATGCTTTAATTTTCTTATTTGAAGGGCTTAAAAAGTTGTAATTTCATGATTTATTTACTGCAAATATCTTTTTTTCTATTAGAAGTATAAATGTAGCAAAGTCGTGCTTAAAACCATATAAAATAGAACTATTTTCAAGTGAATTAGAAGTAAATAAAATTAAAAAAATATATATTTTCGTACTTTTTACCTATATTCCATTTATAATCCAGAAATGCCTGAATATTCTCTCAGTTCCGCTGGGATTTCTCGGCGTTCAGACGTATGCAGTGTTGCTCAACGTTACTTTACCTCTCGCTCGCATGGTTGTGCGGAGCATATCGTGAAAGTTACTCTACTTAAATATATATTATTTTTATTTAATTGTCATATTAGTTCTAGTTTTTAGTGTATTAGTGGTTATATTAGTATTAGATTAATTGACTTGGACTTGTATATTTGGAGAATTTCAATTTATTACCAACAAAAAAATAAACAGAAAAAGATGGATAGAAAAAAGAAGAAATATCCTTGTGTCAGTAAAAATAGTAGTAAAGTAGTATTAAAGTACAAAATGTACAAGGTAGAGGCGAAATTTGTATGAAGAGGCAGTTTATTTTCCTTCGGTTGTATACACTCTTTTTAAACCTACACCCCGTATAAACATTACTAAAAACGACACTTATGAAATATAAAAGGGTAAAACATTATACTACCACGACAAAAGTAAAAGGAATATTTTAGGAAAAAAAAATTAATAAGTTATATATTTAATGAAGTAGAGCAACCTTCAGCTGCGATCTCGAACGTATTTATGCACGGGGGAGAGCGCCCCCTCTAATGGCTAGGAATGTAAAACAGCAAAGCTAGATGGAAGCCTTAAGTGCTGTTTTCGAAAAATACAATATCTAGAATGTTGAATTACTGTTATAGTTATATGCGTTACCAAGTAAAATTGAATTCAAATGACAGCCATGCGTATGTTTTCCTCATTTTTTTTGTTGCTTAATCATATGCTAAACTGAACACATCTGTAAAAAGCAAATGTCATGAAAATATTAGGAAGTGCAACACTTGTAAATGTTTTTTCTTGTAGTTATTAAATTATCTTGATCATTAAACCTTTTTAACTTATAAGTATGTATATAATGTTAATAAATGATAATGAATATTATTATATCCAAAATAATTTTATTTCCATTTTCGTGACAACTCCTAGCGCACACGCTGCCACATAAATACCTACGCGGGCGGTAGCATCGCCGGACATCAAAGGCGTTTCACAACTGTAAGATCTTAAAACTGTGGTATTACTTTAGCGAAAAACTCCGCATTGAATCGCTCTCATAAAATACAATTTATAAATAATAATTTAATACATTCTAGGCCCCAATTAAGCCGTGATAGCTCCAGATGGTTAGCGCTCGCTGTAAATTTCACGCGAATACGCGAGCAAACCGGGTTCGATCACCGCCGGCACCAATGAAATTGTTATTGGCAATTTTAAATGCTGATTTACCACGTGCTCGGCGGTGAAGGAAAACATCGTGAGGAAACCTGCATTTCTGAGAAATAAGAAAAAAAATATTTCGAAGATATGTGAATTTCGCCAACACGCATTGGGGCAGCGCGGCGGACTATTCCTTGTCCTAAAACCCTCTCAGAAATGAGAGGAGGCCTATGCCCAGGAGTGGGACGTATATAGGTGTAACTTTAGGCCCCAATTAAATAAATAAAAAAGACCTCCTACTACGTACGCCTTTGGAAATTATAATACAATAATTTGAAATAGTAATTCAAGAAAACCAGGAACTTTAATAGATGGTAGAACTCCTTTTCTGTCTAAAAGTCCACCTTATAAGGTACCAATCCGTTATCTTTCTGCCGGCACTGGTGATGATCTGAAGGGTACCATCAGCTGGACTGCAAGTGTATAGGCTTAGAAGGGCTAGAACCCAGAGCCGTTAAGCCAGTTAATAAAAAAAGTGGACTGCAAGTTGTTTCACTAAGTTTTATAAAAAATAATATATCACCTTCCTTCCTCTCACCGCCTATTTCTGTTATTGATTATTACAACTGTTTCTATACTTTGGTATGAATGACATAAAGAGTCAGTACATTTACAGAATTTGAAGTGTTTCTTCTTAACGCACAGTATGACATGTTCTCTAGCCTTTTTTTATTTGAAGTTGGAATGCCGGTGTGGCAGCTGCAGTCTTAAGTAGGCTTACTATCATGTTGATTGTTAGCTGTTACTTTATAATTATTAAAAATGCTCCAGTAAAACGCATAAATGATACATCCGCAGCGTTTTAATGAAAGTAAAATTAATTCGTAAAGATCAACGACCGCGCATTGACACACTGCACTCGAGACGGCCACTCCTCGCCCCTACTCGCGTGTACTCGCGCGCTTCGCGTTTCACTGCAACTCAACAGCAAACATACCTACATATCTACAGAAAAGTGGTACTATGTATTCGATATTAGTCACGCACTCATGATTTACTTTATTATTAAAAATAAACTGGCGTTTTGGAATGATATGGAATGATATCTGTATTATATAAATAAATTAAATATTATTATCAAAAAATATGGTAAAAGAAAGTTCACTACCCTATATATATATATATATATATATACATATATATATATATATATATATATATATATATATTTTTTTTTGTTTATATATATATATATATATATATATATATATTTATTAAGTTTTTTCTATTATGTCAATAAGATCAAAAAATATTATTCATGTTCTCAGTCGGTAATTTGTATCTAAATGTAATTTAAAAAAACCGAGCAAAGCTCAGTCATCCAGGTACTTTTAATAGAACCAGCATGATGGCAATCATTTCATTCCCAGGTTTTTTTTCGTTTATGTATTCTGTGATTATAATAACCCTTTTTGTACAATTTTACTTTAATAAACTTGTTTATTGACAAATTGTGTACATTTTCCGGGATTTTGTTGTAAAAGCGTATACATTTCCCAGTCTGTATTAACTGGTATTACAAGCTTTTGTTTGGTACTAATGTTAAATGTATGAACATCTTAATTCTTATGAAATCTACTTATGTTTTTATGTACATGCATTATATTTTCACAAATATATTGCGATATACCAAAGTTAACATTTTTATTTTATTATAAATATTTCTCAAAGGGACTCATCATACAATTTAAGCTATAAATCGCCCGTATGACTCTCTTTTGCAAAACAAATATGGCTTCGATGTCAGTTGCCCATACCAGTAGTCAGTAACCCATAGCAAAATTCCATAAGACATCACGCCATGAAAGTAACTAAAATAAATTAATCTAGCTGTCTCAACATTGGTGAGACTTCTAATCTTTCTACAGCATATGCTGCAGAACTAAGTCTGCCTGCTAGTTTAGATTTAAAATACCCAGAACTGCGGCACCACACAGTGTACTAAAATCTTTAATCAGTCTATCAAAAAAAATGCGATTACGACTAGTCATTCGTACGATGTTACTCATCTTCCGACGGAAATTGTACAAGTGTGATGATGATGGTGACGATGATAGTCATAATACAGAGAGGTAATTAAGAATAGAAATTATATTTTATTAACATTGTCATTCGTTCACACCGGTACTGTCAAACCTATGAAACCAATTTAATTAATTTCATAGAGTCTATATAAGTACTTTTTTGTTATGTTTGTAATCCATTATAAAAATGCTCAGATGGTCGATATTATTAATGCGGTAAATGATGTTATTGTCTTTAAAATCTCTTTCACGGTCTAATGTTTTTTGAAACTGTAGTGCCCGTCACCCTTGCGTCGAGATTACGATCTAAAATTATTGCTGCGTTCGCCCACCGAGGGATTTTTATAAGCCCACTCATAAATCTTAATTGAAGAAAAAAGTCTTGAGTTGAGGCCAATACTTTCTAATTTCATAGCTAGAGGCGAAATAAACAAGCGATATAAAAGTATTGACGGTGCGTTAACATTAATTTCAGAGATGATCTTAAATAGGTGTTGAGAAAGGAAACTCTAAGACATTAATTTTAATCACTATAATAATTCGTTACTCTATCATGTAGTTTTGTTATTACTTTTAAGTATATAATAATATTTTTTTTAAAGAATAAGGGTGACAAAAGAGCACACAGCCACCTGATGGTAAGTGGATGCTGTGGCCCATAGACATACATTTATCCTCGATTAAGAATCAAAAGGCAGAATCGTTGTCACCCCTGAGGACTAAGATGGAATGCCTCGTTTCCAGTAAAAAAAGGTCTCTGGACCTCTACACTCACATAAATAACAGCAGTATTAGGCTGCTATTTTAAGCTGGTATTCTGTGAGAGCGTAGTCTTTCCCCGGTCGGACCCATTCGTGCTACAACCATAATATAGCTGCAGCGTGGCTCTACCATGTATAAAATTTAATTACGTGATAATTTCCTTCCTAATTTCCACGTCAACAACTTCCAAACATAATCTTAAGCTACACCTACACATGTCATGCAATAGTGGTTCAAAAATACATTAGTGCACCACCCTCACCTACCCTTAACTGAACCGATGAAATCGAAGAAATGAATACAATTTCAATACATCTGAATCAGAAAAACAATTTATATTTGTTTTTCTGATATAGAAAACATCGAAAAAGATTCAACGCAAGATTCTTGACAAAGATAACGTATATTATGAGTGTTAGTTAATTCTTTAAGGGCTCTACGTATGCACTATATTTTTAAAATAATATAAAATATTTAAAATAAGAAGTAATCAAATAGACATCATTTAAATCAAGTAAATAAAACTTGATACATCAGCAACTTTCACGTCATTCTATACAAGCTTTTGAACATGGATTCTTACGGCTTCCAGCTAGCGACCCAGAAAGTTTTGACACATAGCTTTGACACAGGTTTTGGTTTTTGGTTTATGTGCGGTCAGTGTGCCGAATTTAATAATTATTCAAATATTGCCCAAGGCCTAAGTGAAATCGAAAGACTTGTTATATACTCAAGAATTTCCTATATATATATATATATATATATATATATATATATATATATATATATATATAAATATATATATATATATATATATATATATATATATATATATATATATATATATATATTATTCATGTTACAACCCTTTCGATATTAAATTTACTTTAAAACAACTTATAGAAATAAATGTTCTGTTTTTATTTCACAATTTTATTTATATTGTAATTCCAATGTTTTATAAACATTTATTTTTGCTTTTACTTGACTGCCCAAGAGACAGAGTAATGTTTTTCGAAAGTATATACATGCCACAGAAATGGACATATGTATGTCCATTTCTATGGCATACTCCTCAGCCTAAACGGCTTGATGGATTTGAACATAATATGAGGTGTCATTTTTTTAATTTTTTTTAAAACGTCAACATAGATGATTTAAAAAAAAATTAAAATAGAAAATTCGTCTTAATTGCGGAATTGCATTTTTCATCATTGCATAGGCTATATAATATTTATACAACATGTAACATATTTAACACACTTTGAAAAAGTAGTTTGTTCAGAATCGTTTACTGAATCGATTCCTATCATTTTTAATATAGGTTTTTATCCCAAAAATAATTAAAACTACGTAAATTACAGTAACACTAAATCTGTACAGTCAAAACAAACTGAAATGGACCGTAACTTAAGGCAATAAGACTTTTAAGAGTGCAGTTTTGTTTATATTATCACTAATTCTGTCATTCAATAAAAATAAATAAAAATGAACTTTATTTCAAGCACATTAAAGTCTTTGCGTTCGTGGATTTGTACTGTGACCACAACATTCTTCCGGAATTAGTATAACTAATTTCATAAATAATCAGTGCATAAAAATGTTTAACTAAAAATTCAGTGCATATATTATGATTATAACATAATATACTAATTGGGGTGTCTGAGGTTGTGCGTTAATTACGTTACATATTGTATATTGCATCTGCAAACACAAAAAAGAGGAAAAGTTTTTTTTTCAGTAAATTTCTTAAAGCAGTTAGGTTTCTCTTAATTACTGTTTTAACTATTTAAGTGTGCTACACATATCGTTAGCAAAAAAAAATATACACGCTAGCTTTCAATATGTCTTTTTTTTTCAGAGCACTATTCTATGTGAACAAACGTCGAACGAGAATGGTGGTGGCGGAGGAGGTACCAATTCCGATTCGAACAATGCTGTGGAGCCGTCTTCAGATCAAATGGCTATGGAGTCTTCTGAAAGAGAGACACCGAGTCACGCTTACAACGGACCGCCACCGCCAGTGCCACCCCCTCATAACAGGAGACAGAATCCACCACACCTTCAGACGCATCATTCATTAGGTAATTGGAAAATACTTTAAACTAAATTATTTGCATGGATGTGTTAACAACTAGAGATGGGCTTCATATTCGGTATTTGGCATATTCGGCAGCTTTACCGAATATTCGTATTCGGCTGAATATTCGACTAAATCACCGAACATTGTAATGTCATGTCTTTCGTAATTTTACTGTTGTAAGTATATTTTATTTATGGGTTAAATCTACTTGTATACCGTTATGTTTTTAAGGCACTGTAGCAATTATAACAAATAGAAAGCTTGATAAAAAATTTTGGAATCAAACAAAGAAACATTACATTACATTAGTACATTTCACTTTACTTTGGTCGTCAGTTTCTCTAAAATAAGTCCAAATAGTAAATCTCCTGCCACTCATTTTTATCATATAATTATCAATTTTCACTAAGAATAACACAACGAAATACTTTTTTTCTCACAAAAATACTCAAAACATAAGCTTGTTACATAATTAAATTAGGTAACAAGTTGCGACATAAATTGGTTAGGTACCGAGATGATCCTGCCGAATAATGTTCGGCCGAATATTCGGTTCGGAGTTTTACCGAACTTTTGACCGAATATTCGTATTCGATGGAATCCATATTCGGCCTATGTCTATTACCAACTAGGTCTCCAAATGTTAGTCTCAGGTGAACTCAGAACTTCTGACAATGCTATCTATAAAATGAGACTCAAGCCATTTTATTTTAATATCTAAACCCAAAAAAATATTGTCGGTTTTTTATTTAAGAAGAATCATTAATATAACGGACCAGGGAAGGACCACGCTCTCACTGACGTGTTTCGTATGGTGAGTGTAAAGAACCGGAGATCCTTTTTAATGGAAACAAGTCATTCCATCTTAGTATTCACGGGTGAAAACGCATCTGCATTTGATTCTTAATCTATATAAGATATATATGTTTATGGGCTGCAGCATTCACTTACCATGAGGTGGACTGTGTGCTCGTTTACACGCCCTGTACGTTCGTCACCATTATGCAATTAATAAAATTAAAGTCATAACACATTTAAATATTTAGAAACAGGAATAACAATACATTATTATTATTATTTCAGGTATGCCGAGAATTCCCAACCATCACCAAGTTCATTCTAAGCCTTATGCTCTTGGGCCACCAGTTAACCATCTTAAGAACGATATTGGATCTGGATTCCGTGGACCACCTCCACAACAGGCACCTCCGACTGATTCACAAACTGCAGCCAGTGATAAAGTATTTAGCGGCGCCGGAGATGTGTGGCCAGCTCCCGCTCCTGATATGCCAAAAATAGTCTCACTTGATGTAAAGTGCGAAAAAAATGCCATGCGAGTGTTTCTCAGTTTCGATAAACCTTTCTTTGGTATTGTTTTTTCAAAAGGACATTATTCAAATCATCAGTGCGTACATTTACCGCCTAATTTGGGAAGGACTTCAGCGTCATTCGAAATTGGTGCCCATGCTTGTGGAACTGCTGGCAGTGGAGATCCAAGGTATAGAGGCGATGCCGCTGCTACTGGAACCTATTTCGAAAATGTAATCGTAATTCAGTACGATCCTCAAGTACAAGAAGTTTGGGATCAGGCCCGAAAATTACGGTGTACTTGGCACGACCAGTACGAAAAGGCTGTCACGTTCAGGCCATTCCCTGTAGACATGCTTGACGTAGTAAGAGCAGATTTCGCTGGAGATAATGTAGGTTGCTGGATGCAGATTCAAGTTGGAAAGGGACCTTGGGCATCAGAAGTATCTGGATTAGTAAAAATAGGCCAAACAATGACTATGGTGTTAGCTATTAAAGATGATGACGCAAAATTCGATATGTTAGTAAGAGATTGTGTAGCACACGATGGCCAACGTGCTCCTATACAATTAGTTGATAGACGTGGTTGCGTAACTCGTCCTAAGTTGATGTCAAGATTTACAAAAATAAAGAATTTCGGCGCTAGTGCATCAGTATTATCTTATGCTCATTTCCAAGCCTTTAAGTTCCCCGATTCTATGGAAGTCCACTTCCAGTGTACAATTCAAATTTGCAGATATCGCTGTCCTGAACAGTGTTCCGACGGTGGACACAATTTAATAGCACAGCATGTAGAGTACGGCCCCCCACAAATAGATGCTTATTCAGTTGGCGCAGAAATCAGAAGAAATGAACGTAGAGTCCGAAGACAACGTCGCGCTACATCACCTGAGAAAGAAGTTGGAGTAAATAGAGTTATACGAGTTGTGTCAGCAGGTGACCTGAATATGGATTCTTCTGAAGAAAACTCTATACCTAAAATTGTTCCAACTCCTGGGCTAGTTTGCATGACAACTCCAGGATTTGCAGTAACACTTGGTGCTCTTCTTGCTACACTAATATGCTCGTGTGCAGTATCAGCAATATTGTTTTTAAAATTGAGGCCTATAACAAGTCTGAGGAAGAAAACAGCTGCAACCACAACAACAATCGCTCGTCCACATGCATCCGCTGGACCTCATGTAATCTCAAAGAGTCGATTTTACTCATAACATTGTATCATTAAATAAATTTGTAAATATTAGTGTGATGAGACTGAAGTATGTAGAACGCACCAATTTTATTTTGCATTTAATCCATGTGCTCACGCGTAAATCCAGTCTTTGGAAAATAATTAGTCTTACTGAATTACGTAATTTTATTATAAATTATATACAATACAGGAACGCTATGATGAGGGTTTGATTATATGCTTAATTTTTGGATAAATGTTTTGGGTTCTTCAGCTTGTTAATAAGACATATTTGATAATATTTCATTGTCTTGCGTTAATTTTATTTACAAAAATAAAATTTCGTCACTTTAACTGTCACCTAAAATTTTAGATAAAGGAACTGTTTACAAAACAAAAATACTACTAAGACAATCATGAAATGAAAATCATTAAAACGTTGTAAAATTTATTAAAAATATGTTGGTGTTGTCAAATTTGGAGACACTAGTTGTAAACAGAAAAATAGTGTTAAATATAATGTAAGTACCATCTTCTGTTACCTCTTTTTGAACATTATTTGAAACAGGGGCAACGGAAAATCTAATACGTGGTATATCAGCATTTAGGTGAACCGCTAGAAATAATGTAACTTGTCATTAGTGTTAATATTATTTATTGTAGTTTAGTGTCGATATAGTAATAGCTACTCGTAATTTTATCTTGTTTCATACCACCTGAGTACCTCCTCTTCTGTATTTTAAGTGTATTGTATTTTAGTAGATATTTTAATGTAAAATTTATTTATTAGTTTTGAATTAAATTGGAAGTAAAAAGATTCAATGTGTTAAGTCAAACCCATTATTATCTATGTGATGTACTGGATTAAACATAATATGTAGTATCTTGTTATTTACTGGTAGTTGTGACAGTAACAAATCCGTATTATTAATTTATTTCAATTTAAAAAATAAACTTGTTTATCAAAATATGTTATTTAAATTTCTTCATTTCATATCTATTGCAGAATATCTTAGAGAGGCTTAGAGGCTTTGCTGCTGCGTTTCGTCTGATGAGTGCAGGTGACCGGAGGCCCAATCCCCCCCCCCATCAACATGGTAGCGGAATTATATGCAGAACTACCCCAGGAGGGTACCAGCACCCCTGGAGAATCCCTCGCTGAGCATCCACGTCCAAGCTACAGCACTCCTGAGCGTGGGTGTCATGCTGCCCCGCGAATTCTGGGGAGGGGGAACTTCTGTGCTCGAGACTAAACCTGCTTGGGGCAAATGGAGCAATAAGTCAAACGCCGTCCACTACCATCTGGAAACGGCGAAGCCGGCCTTGCTCTTTCTAACCGAGACACAGGTGTCCTCTCCGGCTGATACTTCGCATCTCTCCTACCCTGGGTACAAATTAGAACACTCTTTTGTGCCCCAGGCAAGAGTTTGAGTGTATGTCAGAAAGGAAATCTGTTTTCGGCGCCGTGGCAGCCTTGAAGGTACGGACCTGTCCATCTTATGGCTGCGCGTAGACAGCGACGACCATGCCCGCGTCTACGGGTGCCTCTATAGGTCGCATAGCGGTAATGCCGAAACAGATCGACTCATCGACCACGTCCGGATGACTACATACTCCGTGCTACAACAGATCCCATCCGCAGAGATCGTGATACTTGGAGATTTTAACGCCTACCACGCTGAGTGGCTTGGTTCTCGTTTAACCAATCATGCGGGTAGATCTGTTTATGACTTTGCTTTGCCATATGGTTTGACACAACTGGTTACCTCGCCTACGCAGATCCCAGATGTGGAAGATTATGTACCTTCCCTGTTGGACCATCTGCTGACCTCACATCTAGACGGATATTAGGTCTCCGTTGATACCTCTCTTGGCTCCTCGGACCATTGTCTGATCCGGAGTATGGTGCCACTCATGCACTCATCGTGGTTGCGTACTGTAGGTTGCCGCCATGTTTGGAATTATAGGTCAGCAGACTGGGACGAGATGCGATCTTTTTTTTGCATCCTACCCTTGGGGGCGGGTTTGCTTTTCGCCGGATGATCCCAGCGTTGTTGCTGATTCTGTCGCTGATGTGGTTCTACAGGGAATGGAATTTTTTATTCCATCATCTGTGATACCTATCGGAGGCAAAACCCAGCCTTGCTCGCTCCTGCAAAATTGCACTATGTCATAAGCAGGAGTACTACCAGGCCTGAGCTTGCGTATCGACGTCTCGGGATGCAAACACCAACGCCTTCAAAAGTGTCATTGTTAAGGCAAAGTCAGAGCACATCGGCAGAATTGGTGAGAAACTAGTTCGTCTTCCTTCTGGAACACGTGCATTCTAGTCTCTCGCCAAGGCTATCCAAGGAAACTTCTGTCACACATCTCTCCCATCTTTGCACAGGGAGGACGACTCACTGGCCCATGCCGCAAAAGACAAAGCCGATCTGTTGGGCTCTCTCTTTGTATCCAACTCGACTCTTGATGACGGGGGGAACACACCGCCGACCACCCCGCGGAGTGAGTGCTCTATGCAGGATGTCCTGTTTACCTAACGCTGATTGCGCAGAACACTCCTCTCCCTGGACGTTAACAAGTCGATGGCGTGGCCAGATAGCGCCTCTCCTATTGTGCTGAAGACGTGTGCTCCGGAGTTGGCACCAGTTTTAACACGTCTTTTCCGGTACTCCCACTCCTTCGGCGTAGTCACGAAATCATGGAATACAGCCCTCGTGCACCCGATCCGCACCGCCTCCTTCACCTTCTTGTTCTCTAAAATAATGGAATCCATTATTTTAGAGAACAAGGAGATGTTGGCTAGCTCATGCGGTACCTTGAAGATCACCAGTTGATTAGTAACCGCCAGTACGGTTTCCGTCGCGGTCGTTCGGCTGGTGATCTTCTTGGTTACCTAACTCATCATTGGGCGGAGACAGTAGAATCCAAGGCGTTGGCCATTAGTTTGGACAAGGCCTTCGATCGGGTTTGCCACAAAGCGCTTCTTACAAAGCTTCCTTCCTATGGGCTTTCCGAGAAATTGTGCAATTGGATCACCAGTTTTCTTGCTGATCGGAGCATTAAGGTCGTAGTAGACGGTGCATACACCGATTACAAGCCCATTAACGCTAGTGTTCCACAAGGCTGCGTGCTATCACCGATGTTGTTTCTTATGCATATCAATGACATATTGCAAAGCGATAACGTTCATTGCTGCGCAGACACAGCACTCGGGAAAACATCGCAGAGTACCGGGACAAACTTGTATCTGAAGTCGAAACTTTGTTGAACAGTCTCGGACTGGGGGCAACTAAATCTAGTCAAGCTTAATCCCCAGAAGACACAGGTTTGCGCATTTACCGTTAAAAAACCCTTCGTCGTATCTCCTCAGTTTCAAGGCACTCCCCTTGTTGCTTCAGCCAGTATTGGAATCCTTGACGTCGACATATCGAGTGACGTGCAGTTTCGTGATCACTTGTAAGAGAAGACCAAATTGGCCTCTAAAAAGCTTGACTTGCTCAGCAGAGCGTGACAGTATTTCATTCCGGCTCATCGCCTGCAACTTTACAAGGCGCAAGTTCGGCCGCACAAGGAATAGTGTTCCCATCTCTGGGCCGAGACTCCGCAGTGCTAGCTCCTTCCATTTGATCGCATCCAGCGCAGAGCTGTTCGAATCGTCGGCGACCGAGCTCTTTCCGATCGGCTTGACGCACTGGCACTGCGAAGAGATGTTGCATCTCTTTGCGTATTTTATCGCATCTACCACGGGAAGTGCTCTGAGGAATTGTTCGGACTAATTCCAGCCGCACAATTTCACCATCGCACATCGCGACAAAACTCACGATATCATCCATACCATCTGGATGACTGGCGGTCCACCACCGTGTGATTTAAAAAAAGTTTTCTTTCTCGCACAACTTCCTTGTTAAATCGACTTCCACCAGAGATTTTTCCGGACCGATACGATTAGGGACCTTCAAGAAAAGAGCCTACTCCTTTTTAAAAGGCTGGCAACGCATCTGCAATTCCCTTGGTGTTGCAGCTGCTGATGGGCGGCGGTAATCACTTATCATCAGGTGAGCCGTATGCTCGTTTGCCCCCTCTGCTATAAAAAAAAACAAATGGTGAAAAAATTGATAAGAAAAGTCTCCAACATTCCGTTGTTTTGATCTTTTAAATTCAGAATGCTTGGTAATGCATTATATAACTGATTATCATTTATAAATACATGCCTAATATTGAAATAAGTTTTTAGGGAATTTATCGCGTATATTTAACTTTTTAAATACCCGACGTGTCGAACGCTTTACAGCACTCATGGTCACGGGCGGGACTGATTGTAAGCATACAACTGCAAGACTTCGAGATACCATAAGTTCATACTGTGTAAATCGGAACAAAAGTTAAATTTTAATCTATGGTAACCGCGGTTAACTATGACATCTGGACGTAGAACATCTCAGTCCCGCCCGTGACCATGAGTGCTGTAAAGCGTTCGAAACGTCGGGTATTTAAAAAGTTAAATATACGCGATAAATTCCGTAAAAACTAGTAGGTATTATTTCAATGTGTAGTGTTCGCGTAAATATAAGAAATCAACATGCCTAATATTTTACGCACGCATATATTCGTAAGGATCGCTAGGTACCTAAGGTACTTTACTTTGACGCGCATCTTCTCTTCTCGCTCGCGCTCTTCCCTTTCGCTTATCGTTACACCGCTAGGTACCTACGCCCACTCGCTCGGCTGACAATGTTGATCGTGACATTACATACGAAGAACAATTGACGGCTAATCAAACTATTCCAGTGCAGTGAGCGATAACTTAAATAGTTAATATAAAGATAGGTGGATTGCGCACGAAGGTCCTATACTATGGCCTGCAAACTCCTGGAACTTTCACTGTTAGATTATTATCTATGGGGTGAAATAAAGAGTCCTGTTTACTTTAAAAAGACGCAAAGTTATGAAGACCGCCACTGTAAAATTATTGCTGTACACGGAAGTTAAAAATGCTCAAGCACAGGTAATAAGTGTAAAATATAATTTAAGAAAACG